CCATGCGAGAGCGATTGGAAGGATCTCCAGGGGCGCGGCCGATGATAGTTTCGTGGTCATGGGATCCATCACATGTCACATTCAGTTTTTCAGCGATGCTCTGGTGATTGGTTAAGAATCCAGATCGCTTTCTCATTGGTTGTCCGCTAGTTCCCGTGAGGCCAAATTGACATTGATCTACACGTGCAAGGTAGTTGTCGACCCGTTGTAACAGCCGTCTGAGACATGGTTCACTCCATGAACTTGCTCCCCAAGGATGTTCAAAAACATAGTGTAATCCCAACTCCTGACATAGTTCACAAATTTCCACACAAAACTTGAGTAGAAGGCGAGCGCGGCGCAACTCTTTGAGATGTTCATCGAAGTGTGCAGCCGATGGGTGTCTCAAACGAATGGACAACTGTTGCAAAGTGCTGAACAATGTACAAGGAGGTGCCAGCAAAATCAAACCTGGTTTTTCCGAGCTCAAATATGCTTTGACATGCTCTTGCACCTGTTTGTCCAATAAATCCCAACCTAATACAATGTCAAAAACTTGTCCTCTGCGTAATCCAAAATGATCGACTTGTTGATTGAAACATCCAGGATTGCACAACTCAACAACTTTCCGCAGCTGTTTTGTCTCGAGGCCAAAGAGCTCCTTATATATCCTCAAATGAGCTGAGTTCTTGTGGATCGCCTTTCCAACTTTATTGCACAATTCTTTCAGAGGGGTACCCAGAGGTTCAGGGTGTTCTGTTGTCAACAGTGTGTGTAGTTCTTGCCAAACACCATGATTTCTCTTGAGATGACTCACCATGTTGTGTCTCAGCCCCGGCGAGATTAAGGCCGGCTCATCTTTGCTCCCTGTCGTCCGCTGCCCGCTTGGAGCTTCTTGAAGCGAGTCCAGGCTGCGAACTCCATCGGATCGATGTCCTCGATGGGATCCGCGGGCCACGGAATCCTCCCGGATGGAGCTGTTTGCGGTTGCGAGGATGTTGCTTGGTGCTGTTGTCGCCACTGTAGGAAATCCTGGTAATCCAGCAACTCCTCCTCCACCTCCACCGGGGATACTGGACTGGGCTTCGTTGTTGAGAAGCTGTATGGGGAAGCTTGCTGTTGAGTCTCCTTCCCCTTCTGGTGGACCTTCTTGGTGATAGTCTCCTCGTCGACGATCACTTTTCCGCAGTCCTTGCACGTCACCTTGGTGCGGAAACCGTTGCTTCCCTGCTTCGAGGTCTTGAGGTGTGGGCATTGTTTCTGAAACACCTGTCGAAGCTCCGCCAGAGTGTTGTCTGTGGTAGGACCCGGTTCTGATTTCACCATTGTTGGGTTGATGTCCAACCATTGGAAGAACTGACATTGTTCTCCTCGCTTCCTTGGGCAGCGCCAGAAAAGCCGCTGGTAGTTCTTCTTGGTCATGGAGGTGTAGAGCTTGCTTCGCATGCGGCACTGGCAGTGAGGAGCTGTTCGGAGATCGAGCCCCTGTGGAATCTGCCATAGGTTCGCCTCTCGGGCTTGCTCGGGAGAGCTGACCCGTGTCCACTCCGATGGAGTCTCTGTCTCGGAGCTTGCGGCTTCCGTTGGAGAGTATTGAGGCTGCTGAGATGCTGTCACTCCGCGGCTCTGAAGTTGTGCTCCCAACTGAGAGACCACTTCGTCCAGTTCCTCGATTTCCAACAGTTCGGCCGATTCGACAATGTTGCGAGCCCTCATGCCTCGTAGTCCGGGGATCTTCATCTGAATCGTGGCGTGGTTTTGGATCGCCTGTCCAATCATCATGAAGAGCTTCAAGACCAGGCGGTACCAAGCGAAGAGGATCGACGCACTCTCCTCCGTCCGGTTCCTCTTCGGGCGTGGCATCATGACCCTTGGATGTCAGAGAGTCGTTCGCGATGGCTTGATGTGGTTTCGAGCCAGCTGAATGTTCCGTCCGGAGGATCTCATATTCAGGCCGATTGTAGCTTGCTGACTGCTGTAAATGACGAATCTTGTTGCTGTTGAAATCTTGCAAAAACACTCGCAATGCTCCAGTGGGGCCCAAGTGGCAACGAGCTGAAAACTTAAGTTTGTCAGAAACCAGTGAGAGGCCTGCTTGTTCGTCCAAAACCAACTGCGCCCCACAATGCAACAAGAAAGGGAGGCTGATCAAGAAAGGAGCAGTGCGACAAGGTTCTTCTTCGAAAATTGCTGGCTTCAAAAACGAACCACGTTGTCCCAAGCTACTTGGAACGATTGCCACCCTGGTAGTTACCGAAGTTTGGTGAACACTTCTAAACTGATGCTTTTCTGCAACAAACTGTAGTTTCAATCCCGTAGGCAAAAGTTTTGAGTACCGTTCTAGAGCATTCATACCAACAGCCATGCGTTGACATCCCGTATCCAAAGTTGCGCAACCATCGTCAAAAACATTGGATACTTGTTGCAGGTGATAACATGGATGCACTGGCACGCTCATGTATACGAAGTCGGCCTGAGCGGACGGTTGTCCTGAAGGACCTTGTTGGTCAGAAGATGCGCTAGCTGCGGCCTCAGAATCAAGGTACAGAAACTCCGCTTCATCAGGTCGTTCACTGAAGAGGTGGTGCACGTCCTTTGTCTTGCCATCGATCTTGGAGCGAGTTTTGTTAGGGCATTCCCTGCTCCAATGTCCAAGCTCGGAGCATTTGTGACACTTTGTTCTTTTCTTCAGTTCTTCAATAGAGACTTTGTAAGTTCCTGGTCGAAGTCCCCCATCTCTTCCAGCTCCGAATCCCCTGGCAAGGTCACGATTCTTCTTGGCCTTCATGGCCCCTTGGAATGTTCGGTTCTTGGGCTTGTCCCGAATCATGGTCATCAAGACCTCCTTCGCCTCTGACTCAGTGATCTCAGTGACCGTCTCATCGTCATCCTCGCCGGACATCTCCGCCAAGGCGTTCAACAGGACTTCCGCACCCTCCTCCAAGGTGTCCTCATCGTCAGGGTTGTAGTCCTGATCGGGTAGAAGTCCTGGTGGATCGTTGTCCAAGGCATGTACCTCAGATGTATTCTTTTTCTTCTCATTCCCCAAGGTGGACATGTCCAGATCGGTCTCATGAACCCGCAGCCATGCCTTGACCTCGGAGACCTTCAATGACCCTCGGGTGTAGTTGAGGAGGAGCTTGATCTGTTCGCTAGTCAACTGTAGGGCATTCACCAGTAGGAACCCGAGATAGTCGTCCGGCAGGATCACACCTTTTTCACGAACTTTTCGTGCCGAGTCGTCCCAACGAAGCATGAAGCTTTGAGCACGTTCACCCTTGCTGCGACGCAGGTGAAAGGTCAGTCGGCTGCAGGCGGCCAGCATGGACTCTCTCTCTTCTTCGCCATAGTACTCCTTCGTGTCCATGAGGGCCAGGAGGAAGTTCCCATTAGTTGGGTCATCCAGCCACCGATGGTGGCTAAGAACTTCATATGTTCCCACGGGGCGCCTGACAACCCCTTCAACAAAAGTGGCCCTCTTGCAACTGCAGGGGTCCTGGTGGTTCTCAACCAAAGTTTTGCCTTGATCTTGTAGTCCTTGAACTCCATCTTTACCCCATCCCATTCAGGAGGAGGTCCCGCCGTCGTCCTCTCAGCTTCATCCCGGGCTGCATAACCCCACTGAGCCATAGGCGCAGCGAGAGGATCGTTGTGGTGCATGCCACCCATGCCATGAAGGTGAACTAACTCTGGTCGGTTCGCTCCTGGCGTAGGTGGCCTTGGAGGTGCATTGGCTTGCCGCCACTGCAAAAACTGGATGTGCTCGGCATTCGCCGGGTCTGGATCCATAGTCCCCATCCGATTCCATGGGTCCTGTCGAGCCCATGGGTCATAGCTCTCGGAGCTATGAGAACCAGGTGGTTCTGTCCTCATCCCGGCCGCGGCGGCCGGAGCAGCAGCAGCAGCATGTGGATGCCGTTCATCTTCTTCAGGAGGTAGCCCAGGTGCTAAACCTGGAGGCGGCATCATGGTCGACGGCGCGGCGGTCATCGTCCCTGGATCGAACCTCGGCTCCGCTACCACTGCGCAAGGCAGTGGCAGCGTGAACCGGAGCTCAAAGGACCCTTTTTGGACATGATGCGCTCGTGCGCTTGAGCCAAGTCGTGGCCGGTGGTCTTTTGACCAATGCGCATGCTACCCTGAACATTGCAATGATATATGTGGTTGTTTTGGCATTCAAGACCTTCCATCCTCTACGCTCCCAAAAGTCAGCTTCCTTTGCAGGCAAAGGTGCACGCTGCATTTTTTTGATGCGCCCCCACAAACAAGATTCCCATAGTCAGGACGGCCAGGGCCACATTCCTCCCATGCACTGTCACCACTTGTAGTTGCCAAGCGAACATCAACCACAAATTCGCTGCCGCCAGCGGAAAACAAAGGGAAGCACGGGCACGGGCGGATGGATGTGGATGATTTGTGGCGAAGGTGTAGGGTGAACTCATGAGGCCCCCATCTTGATGAACTTCAATCATGGGGCATAGCGACCTTGGCTTCAACATGTTTGAACAGGTATCACACAAAGTGGCCAGCTTCCAGCTGAAGTGCCCACCATTCTTGGCACTTGGACCAAAGTGTCCACTTAAATCTGAACGTCGCTATATCTTTTTTAGACCACTGTGGCAGTCCAGGTATATATATTATATATATATAAATAGTATGTATCCCTAGGGCTCCAAGTACCTTCTAAGAAGGTGTTTGGGGTGGGTTTAGAGGGTCCAAATCCAGATATATACACTATTATTTTACATCGTTTTTGTTTGGCTTGTCGGTGTATAACCCTCCTGTTCAATCAGACCCGGTCAGGCTGCTACGTTCGCCTGACTGATCAGACCCGAGCGAGTCGGGTTTCGATTTGTTCATCAAGGAAACGGTCACCCCCATAACCCCAGTGATGGATCAACATCTGATCAGACATCCATTCAGACACTGAACGTCATCAGGCTGGCCCATGTTTTTGGAAGGTGGAGTTTTTTTTTCAAAGTGGGTAGTAGGATGAGTAGGACCCCAGCACTTGGTCGCAGGACCCGCCCCTCGTCTCCAATCACCCAGTGGGGGTGGCCAAGTCGACTCGACCTCCGTTGAGACCTCGGGTCGCTGGACCCAGCTGGGCGTGCGATCGCCCAAGACCCACGGTGACACCCCCATGAAGGGGGTCCACCGGGACCAAAAGACGAAGCAGTTGGGGTTCTCAACAGGTTGTGCTCAAGTAAAGCGGTCAAATCTGTTTAAATAGTGTTGGTCAACTAAGGTGGGGCAAACCGATCCACTGAATATATACAGTAGATCAAACACCAATTGCCACATTCCAGCTTACGGTATGGCCATCCACTTTGGGACCCGCGGATCACGATCTGGTGCATCTGAAAAAAGGGGGGAGGTTGATCATTGGAATGCAGAATGCAGATGCGAATCCATTTCGAGGCTGATGGTGTTTTTCACAGCCCGAAGGAGGCGTTTCGAGGGTCCCAACTGCGAGGCGCCCCTCGGGGCCCCCGTGGCCGGGCCACCTCGCAACGCGGCTCCTCGCCGGGCCCGTCGGGAAGCCCAGGGAAGGAGAGAAGGAGAATGTTCATGTCACTTTAAAGTAGACTTTTGGTGAATCAACACACTAATTTCTTAGATCCTAGTCAAGTTTGACTGGAAGAGTCTACTGTGACTTAGAGTTAGGTTCCTACCGTGTCAACCTAGTCAAGACTGGCCAATGTAAAGCTAGTTTGCTGCCGGTTAAGCCATTATAACTGTATTGCGTATTATAAACCACTATAATACTTGGAAAGATGGTGGCATCCCGAGGGGGCACAAGGTCATAGGCTGAGCTTTGGGAACAAGATGGAGGCCTTGGGGCAATTTAGACATCCTTTGTTATTGTTGTTCATTCGCTTGTCCTTGTGTTACACAATGTTGTACGCATCCGTGTTTCTTCTAGAATGTTCTAGATCTTTTTGCTCATTGTTTTATGTTTTCTGTGTTCTTGTCAGGGTCCTTCGTTCTTCTATCTTCCTCTCTGTTTTTTTGTTTTGCTGCGTCTTTGGTCCGTTTCGCTTCTGGTGCTTTGACCACCACGATCGGCTCAGAATCCCGACCGAGCCACTGTGAGTCGACCCAGTGGCGGCCCAGGCAGGTCCAGGCCAGCGGGATTTTGCCAGAATCTCTACCAGGGGGCACGACTGGCACCACCAGAGCTGAACCAGATGGAAAGAATTCCAGATAGAATGCCATAATTTTCTGCGAGATCGGATATCAGAAAATATATACCAGAGATGCCAGCATTTACGCCAGCTAGAATGCCCGCATAGATGCC